GCACAAAACATTCTCTTTATTATTTTATTATTATTATTATTATTATTATTATTATTATTATTATTATTATTATTATTATTATTATTATTGATTTTCTGCATCATTGTTGCTTTTCAGACTTTTAAACTTTATATAAAATGACTCAAATTTGATGTAGTAATTTCTGGACACCATTGTGCCCCTTAGGTATATACAGTATATGCCTTCTTATATAAATAATCTTTTAATATTTATTGTGGTGGCACGGTGGCAGAGTTGGTAGAGCTGCTGCCTCTCAGCGAGCAGGTCGCCTTGGTTCAAATCCTGGCCGGGGGCCTTTCTGGGTTGAGTTTGCATGTTCTCTCCGTGCATGCGTGGGTTTTCTCCGGGTATTCCGGTTTTACTCCCACAGACCAAAAACATGCATGTTAGACTGACTGATAACTCTAAATTGTCTCTATGTGTGAGTGAGAGTGTGAATGGTTGTTTGTCTCATTTGTCTCAGTCTTCTTGTGATGGACTGGACCAGTCTCTTGCACAGTGACTGCTGGATAAGGGCACCGGTAACCCAAGTGTCCCTAAAAGGGCAGGTAAAAGATGATGGATGGATGGATGGATTTATTGCGTAACTTTTGCGAGATGTTTTTAATAAAAATTACATGTGTAAAACATTGTATTGAAAAAGCTTGTTGATGTAAATTTTAGAAAACAATTTGAATGTAAATAAGAACTGGTCTAAGTTTATTTTTGGCTTCTGAAAAAAATCTAATACATTGCAATAAAAAATGGTATACACATATTTTGAATCATAGTAATGCTATATATATATATATATATATATATATATATATAAACCTCTTTAAGAAAATTCTAATTGTTTAGTGACAACAAAAAAATCCCTTTTGTTCACAACTTGATTGGGACTCCAAAACTTTCAAGTTATTTAAGCAGAAACACAGTCCTTATGTTTCTCACAGTGACTGCTGGACACACGCAGCAGTTAAAAGTAAATGGATGGATGTTGGACAGACAATGGATGGAATGAAATATAGCCATTTTTACTAGGCCACTCTAACGCCACTTACAACATGAAGGAATAAAACAACTTGACTTCAGAGAAAGGCGTCCTTTTCTCTTCTTCTTTTATTGTATCATCTTTTCTTGATCTCTGTTTATCTCCTGGTCTCTGGCATAAACCATTTCCTTACAACAAAAAAGGTTGAATCGTGTCATCTGGACTTCGTTTTTTGTTAAAAAGAAACGTTTCGCCCCTCGTCCAAGAGGCTTCGTCAGTCTGAGGCCTAGCCATCTGGTATTACCCAGAAGCCACCCTGACTCTTGTGTTTCAAGCCTGCCTCAGATACCCCTGAAGTCCAGATGACACGATTCAACCTTTTTTGTTGTTATATACCTGGATGACTGAGAAAACAAACTTTGTGTTTTTGAAACCATTAGTGAAAAGGCCAGACCTCAGGGGTATCTGAGGCAGGCTTGAAACACAAGATTCAGGGTGGCTTCTGGGTAATACCAGATGGCTAGGCCTCAGACTGACGAAGCCTCTTGGACGAGGGGCGAAACGTTTCTTTTTAACAAAAAACGAAGTCCAGATGACACGATTCAACCTTTTTTGTTGTTATATACCTGGATGACTGAGAAAACAAACTTTGTGTCATTTCCTTACACTTCAGTAATAATCATAAAAAAGAGTTTTTCTCTTTGAGAGACTACCAGGAAACATTAGAATGGCATATCATGCAGCCAATCTCGCAGGAGGATGAAGAGTGACAATGCTCACTCAGGTCCTTTTTTCACATAACACTTTCTGACACCTGAGACACACATACCTGTCAGAATCTGGGACTGTTTTTCTCTGTGTGGAGAATGGGTTGTGTGTGTTCAGCGGTCTGTGCAATGCCACAGCACAAGACTGCAAATGCCTCTTGTGTATTTCAGACTTTGTTGACATCATGAGTAACTGTAGGTGTATGCATATTAGCTCCATGACTAAAGTCAATTGGCACATGTGCTCTAATAAAATACTCCCCCTTCCTTTGGCCTTGAATTAACTCAAACAAAACTCACTGTTTAGTTTATGTTCATGCTAACAGCACAGGAGGTCTTTTCAAACTGTGCACACCAGTGGTTACAAAGGAACAAAATCAGAATTACAAGGCTTTGCAGAGTGGAGGCATTGCCTTGAATATTTTTCAACTACAGCTGAAATCAAAGACCCAACAGGGGTTTTCATGCTGTCATAATCTGCCTAAAAAGATCTGAAACTACATTAAAGATGCTCTTGATCCTTTAAAATCTGTGGAGTCGCTTCTGAACATGACTGAAATAAGCCAAGATCCACTTAGCCTCAGATGTCTCAGATAACATGCAGCAGTTGAATAGACTCCTAACTCAATAGAACATTTCTAAAGCAAAGATCACAAAATGAAACATGCCCTAAATTAAAACACTTAATCAACAGCCTTAAAATGTCAGGATTGGTTGCAAATGTTTATGTCTGCTTTTCCATACTTTTTTCAGACTGTGTAAATTAGTAAATGTGGGACATTATGGATCTTAATGAGGAGTATTTCAATATTATTTTTCAAATGCAAAACTGGCACTTAAAAAAACAAAAAAAACAACAGGAAATTTATTTTTTAGTTAAAGCAGGACAAGAGCAAAGCTATATTTATATTTGTGTGAATAATTTGGCTGTTGGTATTAAAAGGGACAAAGCTACATATGCACAGAGAATCCAGGGACATTTCTCCTCACAAGACCCACAGAGCATGTGGATGGGCATTAAATGCATAACAGACTATAAAGGCAGGGTAGCACAATGCCCTGGGGACCCATTACTGCATGATGCTCTCAACAAGTTCTATGCATGCTTTGAAGACCCAAACAGACCACCCAGCTCCAGACTCACCTCACCACCGGAAGAGGAGTTTCTCAGTGTGACTTCAGCTGAAGTAAGGAGTACCTTCAGGAGGATTAATCCTCACAAAGCAACTGGCCCAGGCAACATCCCAGGGAAAGTGCTGAAAGACTGTGCCGATCAGCTCTGCGAGGTGCTGGCCACCATCTTTAACTCCTGTCTCACCCTGGTAACAGTTCCCTCCTGCCTAAAGACCACCACCATCATCCCAGTCCCAAAGAGCTCTGCAGCGACTGGTCTGAATGACTACCGGCCAGTAAAACTCATCCCGATAGTCATTCATTCATTCAACCTTTATTTATACAGGTTAATCCCATTGAGCCTCGGGGACTCATTTACAAGAGAGACCTGATTTCGTAACAAAGAGTGATGACAACAGTGAATAACAACGACAACAATAGACATTCATAAAATAGGCATACAAATTTGTTTCTCTCCTTTTTTTTTTTTTTTTTTTTTTTACAAATCAAAACAATCAAAACAAAATAGCAACCATAAGGACAATCAAGAGGAAGAGTAGCAAAAAAAAAAGGTTGCTAAATGATTCGAAATACTGGTCATGACCCACATCAAAACAACCATCAACATCAACGAGGACTCTCACCAGTGTGCATACAGCGAGAATCGATCAACAGAAGATGCCATCTCCTCTGTGGTCCACACTGCTCTCACCCACCTGGAGCAGAAGGACTCCTATGTCTGTATGCTCTTCGTGGACTTCATGTTTGCCTTCAACACCATGATCTCCCAGACTCTGATGGACAAACTACTCACACTAGGACTAAGCCCCTCCATTTGCAACTGGGTCCTAGACTTCTTAACAAACAGACCACAGTCTGTGAGGATCCACAACTTCTCCTCCTCCACCATAATCCTCAGTACTGGCTCCCCTCAGGGCTGTGTGCTGAGCCCCCTCCTGTTTACTCTGCTCACGTATGACTGTGCACCTACCCATCCAGGCTGTCATATTGTAAAGTTTGCAGACAATACAGCTGTGCTTGGATGCATCACAAACAACTATGAGTCCAGCTACAGGCAGGAGGTGGAACACCTGGAGAGCTGGTGCAGGAAGAACAACCTTCACATCAATGTGAAGAAAACAAAGGAGATCTCGGCTGTGGATTTCAGACGGAAGAAACACACCTACCACCCCCTGAATGTAGGAGGATCTGTGGTGGAAGTGGTCTCCAGCTACAAGCACCTGAATGACAAACCTCAGCTGGTGGAACAACACCACCAGCCTGATCAAGAAAGAACATCTCATCAGAGACTCTACTTCCTCAGGCGGCTGAGACGAGCTGGTCTGGGAAGCTCAGTCCTCACCTCCTTCTACAGGTGTGCAGTGGAGAGCATCCTGTGCTCCAGCATCAACATGTGGCATGGAGGCTGCACAGCTGCAGAAAGAAAAGCTTTGCAGAGAGGGGTGAAGGCTGCACAGAAGACTGTTGGAGTCAGTCTCCCCACCATCACAGACATTTACACCTCTAGATGCAGGAAGAGGGCCACCTGCATCATGAAGGACCCCACTCACTAAGCACACACATTTTTTTGCCCCGCTCCCCTCAGGCAGAAGATTGCGCAGCATTAAGTGCAGAAAGTGCAGAAGAAGATTGAGGAACAGATTCTACCCTGAAGCCGTTAGACTCATGCATCTCTAACCAGGATTATCACTGTGGAAAAAATAAATAAATAAATCACTGCAATGCCACTTGATTTTTGATGTGTTGCTGACTATCCATGCTGCTTTTCTCATGCTGCTGATTTATTTCATGCTGCTGTGTTCATTCATACTCATCTGCTCACACAGACTCATGTTCGTGCTGCTGTTGTTCGGCGTATTGTTTTTACGCTATTGAGTGCTTAGCATATTCTTAGTTTAGCATATTTCTTAGTTCATATCTTAGATCTTTATTACTATTTTTCTTTTACAATTTATAATTTTGTTGGATGTAACTGGGACCCTGTGTACACAATTTTGTTCCACCTCGTGTACCACATGTGATGAAAATGACAATAAAGAACCTTGACCTTGACTTGAAAAAAGGTTATTTGAGCAAATCAATAAACAACTCATCTCTGCACTGACCTGCTCCTTTGGTCACCACCAGTTTGGGCTTGCTTCGAGTTCCATCCCCCTTGGTGGTGTATGCTGCCACCGTGATGGAGTAAGTAGTGTCTGGCTTGAGTCCTTCAATGACCATTTCCTATGGGAGACACACAAAAAAAGGAAAATGTCATAACGTGCTCTGAATATTTCATGATTTGACCTCACTTTGTGCAGCCCAAACTGCCTTGCACAGAATGTTAATCCAAGCATCTCCTAGTCCTTTTCATTAATTTTCCACGAAGCGGACATTTAATGCATTGTTTCTCCCCATGTAATGGGAGACTATTCCATTACTTAAGTCCTTAGAGCTGCCAAAGTGGAGGAGGGACATTATGTATGTAAATGCAAAGCAGCTCTTCCTTATTCCTTTAGCAATATTCCAATCAACAACTTAACTTTGATAAATGCATGCTGAATACTTCCTGGCCTTTCGCTGGCAGGTTTTACCTTAGCCATTAAGTTTCCTTGAGTTCTCTTCAAAGAGAGGCTTCCGATCAATTCTAATGAATCTTTCAGGGAAGCAGGTTTTCAACGAATACAAGATGAGGTTTTTAACAGGCTTGTTGGCAGAGGGATGGGGGGAAGTCAATAAAGGTAAATAAGCACTAAGTAATGTCTTTCATGTGACAAAGTATTCTTGGGTTGAATTTTAAAAATGGTCTTCAAAACAAAAGTACAACTTCCTTTAAAAAATGGGAATGGCGAGCAAGGAAGTGATAATTTTATTTAGGTTTAAAGGGTCAAAGCAAGACATTCTGTAAACTATGGTCTGCAGTACTAATACTAAGGCACCACATCAAAATAAAATGCAAACACACCAGAATGAATTCAAAGAACTTAACATAAAGGGAAAAAAAAAAATCACAAGACAAAACTGTTTCAGAACACAGCAAGATATAAGTAGCATTCCAAGGCGTGACCAGTGGATATTGCATCAGGAATCATTTTGTACAAGCTAACTGACAACAGAAGTTTGTCCTTTTTTTCCCATAATGTGGTGAACTGATCAAACAGCAGAAGTAAAGCCTCTAAGCCCTTTGTCTATTCGCATCTAAAGAATAGATTGGAAGGGTTGTTTAAACTGTGAAAATAACCAGGTTGATGCAATAGCCACTGTTTCAGACATACAAAGCACTCAGGTGAAACTTCATACTCACATATTCAGCTGTATCGTCCGTTTCCCACTAACCCCACCCCGCCAAAGTGGAGAGTGCAGAAGAGAAGGAAAGAGAGAGAAAGAGCAATATTTCTTTTTAAAGAAAGAAAAAAATGGAAAAAGTAGATAAAGGGTTGGGAGAAGCAGGGTCATGTGAGATTCAGCAGCAGAGAGTGGGTGGAAGAAAAAGTTTGCTTGTTTTTGGGAGGTCAGAGGTAAGAAAAGCTGTTTAAAGATTTTAAATTGAGACATCTAATACAAGTCAAAAAACGTGTAGGTCTGCCAGCGAAACCCAAAAGAGTTTATCATAGGTAAAAGAAATAATAATAGGATGCAACTTTCAAGAACATGATGATCAGATAACAAGAAAATACCAAATAAAACAAAATAAAACTATTATTGACAGTTTTGCATTATATAGGCTATTAAATTAGGATTTTTCTCCCAACATTAACTTTTTTGCATGGTGCTGGTGGCATTTGGTTTAAATTTAAACATTTTCACTTAGTTTTTTTATTTATTATTATTTTCCAATATACTGCATTTCTGATGGAAAACACTTCCTAGCATTGCTTACCCTATTCCTTCTTGGTGATAATTGCCATCAGAATGATTGCTTCTGGGCAAAAAAGTAAACATTTTCCAGGATTCTTTTAGAACCATGTTGACAGAGGTTTCATAGAAAGGCGAAAATAAATAAATAAAAACATTCATTAAAGATCTGTCAGCTGAGGCTGATCTATGATGAAATGTTTATTTCTGCATCTTTTGCTCCCCCTGCATACACAGCGTCCAAATCTACATTTTTGTTGAGTCGTTACATTGGAGACGTACACAGTCAAATATTTCATGGCAGATGTTGCAATAAAGAAGGCATTCATAATAAAATCTGCAGCGGTAGAGGAAGGAGGAAAAATATGACGGAGGCTTTGATTATAGTTCTTGTTGTAGACTGAGGTGAAGAGAATATTTCAGCAACAAGAAATGAAATCTAAGAGGGAGGACCACCTGTTTTGCCATTCACACTTCAGTGACAAACTTGCAAAAGTGAAAGTGCATAACTTTATTCTGTAGTAAATGTCTTCAGTTTTCTAACAGATTATTGATGGGAAACCCGGGAGATGGTCATACCTGGGCATCAGCCAGCATCAAGTCCTTAATGAAGGGGTGGCCCCGTGACTCGCCATTTTCCACGTGCACATAGTGAACCTGGTAGCCACGGATCTGACCGTTTTGCTTGCCTGGTGTCACCGAACGCCACATCACCTTAAGTGCTGTGGAGTTGAGGACTTCCACCTCAACCCGTCTCGGTGATGCTCCAGGAACTGCAAAAAGAAAAAGAAAAAAAAAACCAATGCAGATCCAATAATCTGACAATAGATCTGTAAGTTCTTTGAGTGCACACGGCCGTAACACATAACAGATGAATCATACAAGTTGCAAGAATTATGGAGACAATAGAAACAATTTATGTGAAGCATTTACAGATACCTAGTTTTCTATGAAACACCTTTACCACAGACTCCTGTCACCCCCATCTTTTTATTATGTAGTTGTGACTGTAGGAAGCTTTATTTCTTAGTCATGACTTTTTTGACATACATTGCATCTGGGCTATTAGAAGTGGTATAGACTATCCTTATAGAGATAAATGTGACATAAATAAAACTCCTCCTCTCAAACTTCTTCCATTTGCTCCTTCATTTGTGGCCTCCTTCTGGCCCTAAATCACAACATGACTTCCTCTCCATTTTGCACTGATCTTGTATATTACCAGACTCTTTGCTACCCTTTAACCATGGTTCTGATTTCCTCATTTGGCACCTGTGCCATGCTACTATTGAAGTGAAACTACCACAATAAAGGTGCTACAGTTAATGATAGTAGTGTCTATGAACAAAACTCATTTAGTGCTGAAGTTGGTGTACATCAAAATCCTGTGGTAATGGGTACAAAATGAATCACAGAAAACAGAAGTTAATGTAATTCAAATGTGCTTTGACATGTTTTGTTTTCTCATTAAAATTCTGTGGTCAAATTCAGCTGTTTCATGTTTTAGGTTTTGTCAAAAAAAAAACCTATTTTAAACAATCTATTCCTCCTCCTACCAGGTTTTTGTGCTAAACTGTATGACACGGACCCTGCACATAAACAAAATGTGTAGCAAATGTTGGGAAGTGTACAGAATCAGAAATATACTCCAGTGCACTGCGAATGCCAATTTGTTTCCAAAAGCAGTAAATTGCACTTGTTTTCCCAATTTACCAGCTTGGTTCATATCAAATAACAATGAGCAGCACTGTAATTTGTTTTAAAAGCCAGAGTGGCTCGCTCAAGGGTGATGCAACAGTAATTACTTAGCACAGTGAGACTAATGTTCATTTGGTTTTATCATTTATAAGTCATTAAGTTTTTTCTACAACTTTATACATGCCTGCATATGTCTTTAACATTCAGCCTGCAGTCTATTATGATTGCAAACATAGGAATAGACATGGTCTTGTAGCATGCAACACTGATAAATACCATACCATACCACTTTATTTATAAAGCACTTAAAACAGCTACAAGGCCAACCAAAGTGCTGTACAGACAAAACAACAGGTAACACACAAAGGAAAATACAAAATGAGGTAAATCAGAATATAGACATAAAAACGATGCAGATAATGACGACAAACCAGTGTGGAGCATACAGGATCAAAACACAGATCATCTGGTGTTGAAAGCTACTGAATAGTAGTGGGTTTTTAAGCGGGACTTGAAAACCGAGAGGGAGGGGGCCTGTCTGACAAGCAGAGGTAACTCGTTCCAGAGTCTTGGTCCTGCTACAGAGAAGGCCCTGTCACCTCTGCGCTTAAGACGGGTTCCTGGAACTGTGAGGAGCAACTGGTCCGCTGACCTCAAGGAACGTGGTGGGACATACAGTTGTAGCAGATCAGAGAGATTGGGGGGGGGGGGGGGGGGGGGGGGG